CGCGATAAAAAATTTCTCAGAGAACTTATTCAAAATAGAGTTTGTTTTATTAGTTTTGGAATTTCTGAGTTATTTTTTTAAATTTGCAAATTGATGCTTTTTAAAGTACTAACTGAATATTTATATCACCTGTACAACAAGCGGCTTGATAAACATATAATAATGAGATCTCAGATAAATTGTTATATCTCGTGACAAGAAAGTGGTTATAGCTAGTTTTGATCGTCGGAGCGCATCAAAAAGAGTAATCGCTGCTAAAAAGCCTCCGCATATATATGCGTCCCCTCCAATTCTCGCGGTGGAGAGCATCGGTCCAGTCAATGATCCAACTCTCTCGGGATCCATAGCTGAAAACTTCCCCGATTATCCAACGGCAACAACGACCAATACCTTACGTTTTTTTTTCCCTGATCCTGCCGTAAGGCCGGATCGTTCATTGCTCCCCTTCCCACTTCCAAAGCCTCGATAATTTATTCGGCGGATCACCTTCCCCTCCGTCAGCCCCCCGCACATCCACGGAGACCGTGAGATCGTTTTCGCCCGGGCGTGCTACACGCCGGATAAAGAGGAAGTAAAAAGAGAAAGGTACGTGGCTCCCGCTCGCCGTCGCTACCATCATCATCATCATCATCATCATCACCACCACTGCCGCCGCCGCCGCCGCCGTCGTCGTCGTCGTCGTCGTCGTCGTCGTCGTCGTCGTCGTCGTCGTCGCCGTCGCCGTCGCCGTCGCAAGGGCAGAAATGACCTGGTGATTCCTCTTCGATGGCCGAACGAGCGCCGGACGGGCCGGACAGGGTCGGGGAAGATACGCGCCGATGCTGCCTCTCCGCGAGGGTTTAAAAATACAAGACCGGCGTTATTCGCCGGTCCGCCCACGCGTGCCGGCAGAAACGGCGCTCTCTCGCGAACCGTGAGAAGAATTCGCTCGCGGGGTTCGGGAACACGTACCCGCCGCCACCTCCTCTCTCATCCCGTTCTCCTTCTCCCTTTCCCCTAGCCAGCCTCCTTTCCCGTCCGGCATCCCTTCCTTGTTCTCATCGTTCTTTTTCTTTCTCAAACCTGCCTGCAACCTCCTGCAACTTGCGATCACATGTGAAGGATCGAGAGGTTTCGGGAGTGGGAAAGGAGGTATGAGGAGAAGAAGGGAGAGATGGAGAACCCGTGCGAATCGTCGAAATAAGCCTATCGTCGATCCTATCATGACGCGCGATATCCGGGTGTGCATGAAAATAAAGTGACGCGACGTTACGTTCGGAGATTAATTGCCGCGTCGATAGTAATAGAGGAGTGTAAGAAAACGTCGAGCAATATCGAACGGGCCTCCGGGTGCGGAAAGAATCAAACGGATAAATTTCCCATTGATCTCTTCACGCTTCGATCCTTTATCGCATCGAGTGAAGTCAACACTTATTCATTTTCTGCCTCCTTTATATTTCGAGAACTTATTAAACTTATTAAAAATGATAATTTTATGAATTTTAAATATTTGGTGAGAGATGAAACCAAAGAACTTGATAGAGAAATTTACATGCAATTCGTGCGGTATGTAAAAGTTATTTAATGTAAAAATATATGTACAATTTATGCATTAATGACTGCATTTAATATCAATGGATAATAGTATGTTAAATGTAATCTTACAATTTGATTTTACAATTTTTACAATTACGCATGTAAAACGTTTAAGACAATCCATCTAAATGTACACTATTTACATTAGTTTCCTTAAGAAGAGGATAAGACGAAAAAAATGGATTAATTGAATCGATATTCGTAAGACGAAAAAAAATGGATTAATTGGATCGATATTCGTCGCTATCGGCCAAATTTCTCTTTTGGCAGTTCGATGCACCGCGCGCAGTTGCAACCTATATTACGACTCTCTTCGCGGCGTACGCCTGGCGCATTCAGCGAGTCGAAAGGTGCAGGAAACGAGCCGAGCTTTGCGGCCGTTTATTTATATCCTCCGATATGCCACGCAAGAGTAAGCATCGCGATCGCGCAATGTCGGCCTCTGTTCGCAGCTAGAATAAAGCTTGATTCACAAGCGCGTTCGCGGTCACGCGCCGTCTATGTATGTTATACGACGGCGATACGGCATCCATCCCCCGGCACGGCGTGTTATTTAACAAGTAACCGCGTCGCACGTTTCCACGCGTCATAGAGCTTATTTTAGCCGTAGTACTTTATCTCTTATCAGTAGTTAATGATGCAAATTATTGTACCACGAAACTGATGATATTTTTAAAACTCTGATCAATTTGTTCTTCTAAACGGTAATACGTTACGAGAAGTGTTCACTCTGTGCTGAATATATCTGCGAATATTATACGAATATTTCGCGAGATTAGAAAATGAAGCTATCATTTGAAGAACGTTTTGAAAATATTTGTTTACGATTGTAACAATTTCAAAAGTATTATGTATTTGAAAATAATCGATTTTAGATGAAAGGTATTTCTTTTTCATTGGAAAACTCAATATATGATAATGCATTATCTTTATCGGAGCGATGTGAACGCATTAATGATCCACCGTTCCATTTTCCACAAGACAACGATTGCAAACCTCGGACATTCTTTCAAGAAATTAGAACTTCTTGTACCGTTATATATATTAGCATCAAGTTATTTTTTTTTTAATTCATCTTGAACAGAATGTGAGATGCAGATCGAGCGTAGCGTATGTGAGTCTTGCTTAATGCCCGGTTCGCTCACCGCGATCACAAGTGCAATGCAGATGCAGGTGCAACAGCACCACCTTGCGCCCAGGTTTTGCCCGCGGGCACGCATGATAAAAAGAGATAAAAAAAAGGTAAATAAAAATCGTGGAATTCACGCTCGCCGTACGCACTCCCACGACGTAAACTAGTTCCGCTCTCGGTTCGGTATATTAGTAAATAGAACGAGCGTTAATTGGCGATCTCGCATAATCGACGCGAGGGAGCCTGCGCCGCGTCGTAATGGGCGCGGCGCACTCGGCTCTTTAAGCGCGCAAATCGCATTCATAATTATCCATTCGCGCGCGGCCAATGTACGTGCACACGCATATGGCATGTGAGAATTGCACGCGCCTTCTCTATTAATAAATAATAAGGCGCGCCGGCGCGCAACGTCGCTACTGTTGACCCGGCTTCCTTGATAAAGGAAGTCGATTTAACGTGCCGCGGATTAAGGAGGAACGCCGAACTTTCACCGCATTGCGCTGGGACACGGCAGAGTAGAATTTTTCGCCCGGCTGCGCTTAATGACGCATGAGATATCGCGTTGAAGCAGGAATTGGAATCAGTCGGCTGATATTGGAGAGCTCGAAGTGTCTTATGGAACGCCGAACTCCGCAATATTGATTTTCTTTTTTTTTTTTTTTACCCTTTTTAAAACGGATTTATTTTATGGAGATTGCGTGCGTTTTGCTTTGATCGAGTGTTTTTACCGCAAACATTATTCTCTCCGCGAGATGTAAACGAGCAGCTAAATAAGCTTGAAACATATGAAGAATGACATTTGGCGGTAATCTGCTAATGACATTCGTGAACGAACGCGAATATGATATCAACATGCAAATTATGCTAGAAATTTGATTATAGGATGCAGGTGGCGACTATAAAATCAAGAATTCAAGGCAATCCAAATGGGAGGGGTAATAATTTTTCATGGTGCATCTTTGAAACTGAAACCGCATTAACGGTGCTTTGACAACTGAAACTGCACAAATTCGTGCGCTGATGCGACGCTATTGTATATCGTGTATCGTGTTGATGTAGGGGAACCTAAGGATACTTGATCCTTTGGGAGAAGACTTGGTCCCTATCCATTATTTCGACAATGTAAAAATTTTATTTTTTTCATGTTGCTAACTTCATGTTGCAGTGTTCACTCTTAACGACAGAAAATGTATCATTTTAACAGTTGAGCCAATAATAAGAAAGGGTGTTTTTGAGAAGTCTATAACTTCTTTTTTTGCAAGTATTCAATATAAATATTGTTTTGAAGTTATTAAATTTTAGAATTAGATTAAAACTTCAAATGGAATGAAAAGTTGATTGTTTTAAAGGTAATTACAAGGATAAGTCTGTAAAAACCTATTTACAAGAAATAAAATAAAAATGAAGAAAAAAGTACTATTCTTGGATTACATCTCTCAGAATAGGGGAGACATTTGGTACATTTTGATTATAGTTTATTAAAATATAAATTAAGAATTATTTTTTATTTTTCTTTCTTAATGCGGTTAAATACACTATTAAAATATCTAAGATACAGCATAAGAACACATTTTGTTTTTCCTTTTATTTTTTTAGATATTCAATAAAAGAGGAAAGGGATTTAAGTGCCTTCCCATTTAATTTAGGATAATAAAGATACATGAAGACCAAACATTAAATGCACTTTTAATTCCGTGAACGGAATTTTCGTCGAGTTATACGGTAAAAGTTTTCTGATAAACAAAGTAAACTATGCTATAAGTGATATAGCAACTAAATATCATTTTCTCGACGATTTACATATTCTACATCGATTTATTCCTTTAATCGTTCTATCATTTACTTTTTTAATAATCTATATCACCGTACCTGATGTATTCTAATTGATTACTTTAGATCTGTGATTTCTTCCGCAAACACTCAATTTTCATGTGAATAACTATGATGAAGCCGTCAAATTCTTCTACCTACGCGTTTAGTATTATCATTCAACCTCTTTCTCTCTATTAAGAAATTTCCGCAAAGCACGCGTATGCTTTAGAACGTGTAAATTTATCGTACAAGATAATTACAAGATATCACGAACCTTCCTACTAGCAACCTTCCCGCTTTGGATATAGCGGTAATAAATTGTACAGGAAAAACCATGAATGCATAATAGCGTATAATTTTATAATGCCCCTTACGGAATGTCTAATCTCGATCTATGGCGTTGATATAATTATTAGGTACGAATTCCATTTCATAAATTATCACGTGCCATCGTGCAACAACTTAGCCAGTAAACAAATATAATATTCAATAGTTTATACAAAAGATACAATTGTCGAGCTGATTCACAACACACTTTCCGGTTAATCACCAGTGAATCGTGTTTCACATTTTTGAAGATTTTAAATTTTTATAAATGCAAAAGTCAGTGTTTAAAAAACGCTTACAGATTGTTTCACATTTCGAAAATATTAGGTATATACATTATTTTACGATCAAAGTATAGTTTCACTATGATAACAATCGACACTATCTCGTTCTGATATCGTATATTTACGCCGCGTTCAGATTGTGTCGTAAAACTGTCCGAGATGCCATTCGTGCAACCGGGGAGATATCTCTGCGTCCCCATCGTGAATGAGCCGAATACTTTCTTCGCGAAATCGCGCAACTTGAACCCCGTCGGCTGAGTTCCGTTAACATTAATCGGTAACTTTCATACGCCGTCATGTGTATCGCGACCTGACCGCATCTACACACGTGCGGCATACTTCGCATGCGATATTTATTCCGCCGACTACGCGGGAACGGTCCGCATACACAGATCTGCTCTAAACGTTCGCGCACAATGCAACCGCGATGGCGCGGCGCGGCAGCGCGCAAAAGGATTTATTGCACGTGCGAACTTTTCAACGGCCGTGCGCCGCCGACGGTTATAATTTCAGCTCGCATTGCCAGGCATGTAAATTGGCGTGCCAGCAAAGTGACTCTACTCGGAAAAACTATTGTTCGCTGGAATTCAGATTTGCATAACGACACCGCGAGCGCATGCGGACGCGAGTCAGATATACCAAGTGTAGCCGTACGAATGAATATACCGGCAAATAAGACGGGAAATTAGTGATGCATCGTCTGTCCATTACGGCCGACGCGTGTGCATCACGGGATTCACGGGCAATTTTTCGCATATTTATTGTAGCCCAACAAACTTAGTTTATTTGCTGCGGTAAATTTTTATCGCATATTCGCAAAATACGAGACTATTATATAGTAATTAGTAATTATATAGTAATTAATAGCAGTTTATTGCTTCAAAATGGCTTTATTTAAGCGCCGTAGAATTAATATAAACTTTGTAAACCATCCAAATATTTGATGGTTTTATCGTTGTTAAATTATTATTCCTGCATCGTAATATACGAATATATGCGTAATAAACGCACATGTAACAGACACATTTAACTCTATGGAATGGGAATATATAAATATTCCCAGATCATTTACGTTTTCACAATGATTGGACGTTCAACATGAATTATGTGCATATATGTATAATATTTTTTATTGCGCGTTGGAAATTCTTCCGCTTTTGGTAGCATATTTATTTTTACTAAAAAAGAGAGAAAAAATTTGCTGACGAAATAACTGCTGATGAACGTGTTTCAGATCAATAATGATCCGAATATTTTGCCAAATGTTAACCTGGTGATGCGATGGAACGACACGAGAGGAGAGTCCCTCGAAGCTACCAGAGCGATGATCGACATGATGTGCGACGGGGTTGTGGCGTTCTTCGGACCAGAAGGCACTTGCTACGTCGAGGCCACAGTCTCTGCATCTCGCAATATACCTATGATGAGTTACGTAAGTGAATCGCAAGCTTTTACTGATTTTAAAGAACTTTCTCTGATTCGATTCTATTCGCGTAAGCGCGATGTAGCCACGCGATATTAGCGATGCTGCATTAACGAGTACATTATACTCATTTTGTAACGTATGTACACCGTAAAAAAACGAAATATGTAAAACTGCATCAAGTGTAAAAGTCACACAATTTATAATGGAAATTTATACACTTCTATTATAAATTATACCGTTATAAATGTATATATCTCCATTATAAATCGCATGACTTTTACACTTGCCGCTCGTGTAATTTTTAATAAATTTTACAGTGTACGATATTTAAAATTTTTTAAATCTAACATTGAACTTTTAAATACGACATGAAATACAAGACGTGAACTACTAATTTGTTTTCATACTTTTATAAAATAAAGCAAAATATAATTGAAAAAAATTTGACTAGTATAATAATTATTAGTTAAAATCTGAAGATAGAAATTCTCCATTATTTATTGCGCATTAAACTTAAATAAAGGAAAGAAATGAAAGAAGTAGGGGGAGTGGGCGGGGTGAACATCGTCGAAATCTCATGGCGCATCGTTATCGCGGCGGGTTTCGTGCGGGCTCGGATGAAGAAGCCGGCTGAAAACGGTTTCCGCCGGCGTGAGAACGGCGGGGTTGTAGGGCACTGACAAGGTGAAGTCGATGGAGACGGCCGGCGCGGGACGCGAGAGAACGACGGTGCCTAACGAAGGTGGTTGGGGGCGGCGGAGGTGCGCTCGACAAATTGAACACCCGCGGCGTGACAATATAATTACGGGCCGTGTGCTCTGGGGCGTGCGTGCGCGCTGGTACGATATGCGTGCTACGTCACGGCGGAGCACGCAATGCGGTCCCGATTCGCACCGCGTGCAATTCGATATTGCCAGTATGAAAGAAAGAAGAGAGGGGGGGAGAGAGCGAGAGATAGAGAGAGCGCCATGTCCGCGCTAGTTAAATTCAGTTCCGGTGGTCTTTAATTTACGACAAAATACAGGATCTGTCTGCAAATTTGCACGTTGTAGAAAACGTTCACACGATCAGAATTGCATTTATAAAACTGGAACATATTTTTTCCATACGAGAAGAAATTAAGCGTTAAGTATATGCGCAACGGATCTGATATAATCGTAGTATACGCACCCACCACGCGACCCACACACACGTCATGCTAACATATTTTATGAAACTCATTGTCAGTTGAGCTTCTAATTAGAACAAAAATTGTTTTTTCCTCTATTCCTTTTTATACATAATTTCTTTTAAACTCTGGAAAGTGCTTCTGAAACTATTATTGTTTTGTTTTAAATAAACAAAATGTGCTAACTTTACAGACACTTATTATGTAATATTATATAACATTTAACATAGGAATAGCTTTTAGGTATTAAAGCTAAATTGGCATAATTCTAAAGTTATAAATGAAAAAATCTTATAACAAATTAGATTTCTTCGCCACTGGCTCTTCGTGTTAAACTTATATAACTTTAATTGATATGACTAAGCTTAATCTATAGACTGCCGGAAATTTCTATGCAAGTTACGCCGAATGACAGCTTAATTTTAAAAACCGATTTGACTTGCAACGTATAGCCTGATAAATTTCTTTAAATATCAGTTTTTACAAAATTTTGATCTTATTGAGATTTTGATTTTATATTTAATAATATTCCGCAGCTATTTAAAACGGTCTATTAAAACTAATAAGAACGTTTCACGTTTTGTATTTTATTATGCTCTGAAATATTATTACAGCAATTCAATTGGGAAATGTATTTTAAATGTATTTAAACAATTTAGATTTTTTTATAACATATGTTTCTCTAACTTCCGTTCATCGTTACGTAAATGCAATGAAATCATCACGATGCGATTGCCATGATGAATCTATAGCGACGAAATAATTATCGTTGTAAGCCTCAGTTGTTCGCATATTTGTACTCGCGGCAGCGTCAGTCTGCCTCTTATTTATTCTTAAAAAGAATTTGCGCGCGTGGAGCTGGAAAGTCAAGAAACCCAAGCACGTTGAGCCACGGAAAATTAGCCTCGGCTCTTCAACGATGCGCGACCGTGCTTCGCCGCAAAGTCACGAATCCAGCTACTTAACAACATTCCGGTAATGCCGATCGTATAGTCGCACCACCTGCAGCTCATACGCACACACGCGCGTGTGCGCGTGCGCACGCGCGCGCGCATACGGCTCGTGAATTTTGCTTTGACGCCGCCGCTTCTATGCGTTTCCTCCTTCCTTTCTTGTCGCGCGACGATTAAAGTTATTGGCGTTCCTGAGCGTAAACTTATGTAAAGTAATCTCCCGGAGCGAGACGGATTGGCACTGCACATTCGTGCACGTCGTGCCTCGTCAACGCAATTTGCATTACGACATATCGTGCAAATTGAAAGTAACATATTTGAACGATCGGATGTCTCCGTTACAGTATTGAATGCAGATGCCGTCGCTGATGTATCGAAGGAGTGTACTTAACGGAACATGTTTCCTCTTTTATATTGTGGATTAATAATTTACAAACTATGTTTTTACGTATTTTATATATCTGCCAGAATAGGAGCAGTCAATCATTCGAAATTCAACTCGATAAACATTTCCGTTATCCGTTATCATTGAAAAGATACCCTCAATTTGAAACACAGTAATAGCATACGCATCGCGTCGTGCGTCGCAGCTTTTTTTAATTGATGCGTTAGGAATTTATTTTCAATTGGCGTGAAATCAGACAAGTCGTGTATCATACCAAACGCCACATCTCCCGCGACATTTTATGTTTTCGTGAAAGTCACCGTGGATGCCAGAGGTTCCTCGTGAAACGAATCGGCAAAGTCGGCCCGTGCGGAAAACCATACGTCCACCACGCGGTTATATATCGTTATGGAAAGTTTCACGAGACCCCGGATCGCCGTCTTCGATGAGAGACGACTTCGATGAGAGTCGATATAAATCCTTTCCGCGATTAATTCGAAGCCACCGGCTGAGTCGATCGGATTACGACACACGCGAGAAGAGACCCCGATTGCAACTTAAAGGACGCCCGCTCGTTGCAGACACGCTCTGGACGAACGCATGGGAAAGTGGTACTTGAACGTCGAGAGACCTCCAGACTAATTTATGTTAATTCGCACTGGTGAGAGAAAGAAACCAGCACGCGAACGATCGACGGGAAAACAGGATTAAAAAAATCGAACATGTGTCGTGGTCTGATTTTCTGTTCTACTTTCCAGATATATATTAATGCAATAAAAGCATTACAAAAGTTTACGTAGGATGTAAATGTTGAGTTTATCATGAACGTACACGCGTGCAGACCTTACGTTCGACAGCACCGATTCTTTCGGTAAGATAATAGAGAAAGAGAGGATCAGACGGCGATCGAACGGGAATGTAGGTGGCCCTTCTCTTGGCACGTGAGGGACAAGAGAGCGCATAGGCATAAGGAGCTACCATTATGCTTACTTTCACCTAGTTTCACTCGTCGCGTCGCCTACTGCAGAAATCGCACCGCAAATTTGTGCGGATTCTTCCGACGGGGATGCCTTCTTCTCATGGCACGCATAAATTTCCTCCAGCAACGTGCTTTTTCCTTGCTAACGCGCTCCGCCGTCCGGATGTTTGTCGCGCCTATCTCCGCTGCCGGCGAATTATTTTTTCTCTTTTGTCGCTGCATTCGCCTAAATTCTTACGCTTCCGAAGACGAGAGAAATGTCAAAAGATATATTTTCTGATTGCCTAGCCTTTTTAATTATTGTTTATCGGCATTGCCATTTTGAACTCAACAAATAAAAAATTGGCAATTTTTTTTAAAAAAGGAGATAAAGTATAATCAATATATAAAACTCAAATTTTCTGAATGTATGTATATTTACAAAATTAAAAAAAAATATATAGGGATTCTTTGAAGTCTGTCCTTATCCTATAACAATTCTTGCAATTTAAAAATGATAATAATGATAATAATTAAATATTTTCTGTTGGTTATTATATAAATTCTGTTGGTATTATATAAATTTTGAGTAAAGCGTGTATTTATCTAATATGAAGAATGAAAGAGATTTATTAAGTGTAGAATATTTTTTGAAGAAAATTGCGAAAAATATAATTTATTGCAAAAAAATATTCAATATTGCATGCTGAATAGCACACTAACAACCGCGGAATGCATGCACTCTCTCTCTCTCTCTCTCTCTCTCTCTCTCTCTCTCTCTCTTGTCTCTGATGGTTAACTCGCACTGGAAACCAGAGTTTCGTCCGCTGTTATCGGTTAGCCGAGACCTTCGACCGTCTTTCTCATTTGAACTGTTTAATTGTACATCGAACGGACGGAGGATCCCCTA